TTATTCATTTGACAGACAGAGATCACAAGTAGGCAGAGAAGCAGGCAGAGAGAGAGGAAGGGAAGCAGGCTCCCTGCTGAGCAGAGAGCCCGATGCGGGGCTCGATCCCAGGACCCTGGGATCATGACCTGAGCCGAAGGCAGAGGCTTAACCCACTGAGCCACCCAGGCGCCCCGAAAATGCCTCTATTTTGATGTGATTTGTCAGAGGGCGCCTGAGTTAATACCATATTTGGCAGAAAGTTTCCTGACCTTGTATTTCATGATATTTTATGATTTTTGCCGATAGACCACCTAATATCATATTTTGGACTTGACTGAAAACACCTTTCAAAATAAAGAAGTAAGCCCTTTTGGTCCTTGTGAGGTAGAAAGGTAGGGGTAGATCAAGGATGAATAATTTGTTGGAGGAAAAAGAGGTGGGCTCCAGGTACTCATCACAAACTCTAGAGGTTGCATATAATGACATAATAACAAAAAGTAACACAAAATTCACAGTCTTCTTGCTTTCAAGTACTTCCTTTCAGATCTAGAGGGCAAAGGTCATCCCAAGATCTCTCAGAGAAAGGTCTCCTTTTCGTCATAAAATGAAATCCCTGGACTAGGGACTCCAGAATTCCATTGAGGCTGTATCCAGCTCTTGCCTTCATGCCCTGAATTTAGTAGGAGAGAATCAGGCTTGGCTGATACTGGATACTTCCTCCTCTTCCCCTCCTCCTCTTCTTCTCATGTTCATGGAGGCCACTGGCCAAGTCCACTACAAAAGGGTTCTTAAGTTTGGGATTCCAAAAATCCCATCTGCCTTAAGTCCAAGAAGAGGTGTGGATGTGACTTTGAGTTTTTCTTGGGGATTAAAACTTGATATGTATTGAGAATAGATTCATAGACCAAAGCATCAGGGACAAGGAAATATGTGTTTCTTTTGCTTTCTGCTTCTTGGAACAGGGTGTTCTTGCCTGTTTTAGCCACTATCTGGAAAGCAAAAGTCTTAAAGGGGACGACTTCCGCCTGTGGTGTCTGCATCTCCACCAGCAGTAAAGTGTGACCTCAACCCACTAACCATAGCTCCAATTACCTCTTTATGACCTCCAATGAGGCATGGGGGACCCACTGCTCTCATAAGTAGATGCTGACAGAACTTATTTTCATGTGTTATGGATGTGGGTTCTAAGGGAGGAGGCTCCTGAAACATCTGGACCATAGTGTCTTGGAAGGAAACTGGGGGACTCAGAGATTCATTAGGTAGAAAGGACATTGAAAGGTCTCCTCATTTGCCCTCTTGCCTCTAAGAGGAAGCAAAACAGAAGTAATTTTCAAAATGCCATCTTTAAAAGACTTGTACAAAAGATGATTTTGGGGACGCCTGGGTGGCTCAGTGGGTTAAAGCCTCTGCCTTCGGCTCAGGTCATGATCTCAGGGTCCTGGGATCGAGCCCCACGTCGGGCTCTCTGCTCAGGGAGGAGCCTGCTTCCTCCTCTCTCTCTGTCTGCCTCTCTGCCTACTTGTGATCTCTGTCTGTCAAATAAATAAATAAAATCTAAAAAAAAAAAAAAAAAAAAAAAGATGATTTTGCCTCTGCCTGGACATCTCAGATGGGGGCTGTGCCACTTTCACCATGATGGTCAAACGCAGCCTCTCTTGCTGGAGTTGGGGCCCATTCTTCTTGTGCCATCTACAGGCCTGTTTGCTCCCACCTGGAAGGTCCTGTGCCCTCCTCTCTGACCAGGCCAGTGTGTTCCAGGGGAATTCCTCCACAGCCCTGGTGAGAAAGTTGCCTGACCTTTTCCCCACTTATTAACTGGGTAATCTTGCACAATTTACTAAACTTCTCTGAGACTAAATTTTCTTTTCTGTAAAACAGAAATAATAATGCTGTATCTTCCTTATAGTGTTGTGAGGTGAAAATGCTTGGTACCTCAAAAGCCTTTAATAAATGTGCCTTGCCCTTTCTCTTAAGCACAACAAAGAGATCACACTCTATGAACCTGTATCCAAAAGATTTTTTTTTTCCTCACTAACTTTTTTTACATCATCATGCATTGAGGACAATACATATTGAGTACTGCCATTTATACTAATTGTTTTGTCTACATAGCTGACTAGAATGCCAGCTTCTTGTGAACAGAAGATGGCCCTTCTCTCCTACTTAGTATAGGCTGGGCCCACAGAAGTGGCCAGTGAATCTTTGTCCAAGAGACCCTGATGGATGGTTCATATGATCTTTAAAAGGTCACCTTTGTCTTTTCATCTCACACTAGAAGGTGAAGAGTGCTTCACACAAAGCCTGGCATGTAGTAAGTGTTGAATAAAGTCCATTCTGCCATCCCACTTCTATAGATATTCCCTTACAGGTATTGTTGACCAATTCTTTGGCTTCCTCTCTAAATCCTCTCTGAGTTTCTTTGTATCTTTTAATGTGTGACTCCTCTTTATAAGACCCTGTCTTAAGCTAATGTGAGGATGAAAGGGAGAACACAGTAGACCCTCAGCACCCACCCCTGGCCTGACCCCTCCTTTTCTGGGACGTTGTTCATCTACTCATGACAACCTTCTTAGATATGAGGTAACAGCTAGATTCAGCCCCTTTAAATGATCATCTGGGATCCATAACCCAAATGATATTTTCCTTAATCTTGTCAGAGTCCTTACCTGAGCCTAGAAGAGACCCAGGTGAGAAATAAACCAGACTTCTGAAGGCCTTACCAAAGCAGCGTAGCTCTGGGCCATCAAAATGCACTCTGTCCTAGGTGCTATCGTGAGTGCAGTGCCTGGCTGGAGAGCAGCTCCACTTCACTGTGTTGGGTTGATCTAGGTTCCAGACCTCAGTCTTCTCCCAACCCTGACTCGGACTTTTGGGTCACCTCTAGCAGCCTATCCAGTTTCTTCACCGCCTTATTTCTCTACCTGCCAAGCAGGGTGAGAGCATCTACCTTCTGTGCCCTGTGCTCTATCCCAGATCATGGGCATGCCTACACATTGCCAGTTCTCCCCTTCAGGGGACTCAGAGGAAAATGGCATTCTCCCTTTATCCCCAGCTGTAATCCCAGCTAGACTTTCCTTTGGCAGCCGGTGATCTAGGAATTAATACCTTGCTAACCCTTCCTCACTCTCAGATTATCTCTCAGCTGAGACTTATGTGTTCTTTAACTGGCCCATCTTCTGGATGGAGATGATAACCAGGCATTTCTGAGAGCCCCCAGGTTTGATAGAGTGGCTAAGACATAGGGACAAAGCCATAGTGCAGGGGTAATCTCTGTTGTGGAGAAGAAACTGGTGTCCCCAGAGCTCTCTATGGTTTCAATGGCAAATTGTACCCTCAGAACTTGGCCCAGCCATTATGGTACAGGCAGGAGGAGTCTGCAAATATATTGTATTGCTTGTGCAGTCACATCCACGGCAGTTAGCATGCACCAGACATTGTCCTAAGTGCTTTCCACATACTCACCAGTCCTCATGACAACCCTGGGAGGTAGTTATTATTAGCCCCAAATCGTAAAATTGAGATGCACAGAAGTTAAGTTAACTTGCTCAGTGTTACCTGGCTAGTGAGTGGTAGAGCCCCGATTCAAACCCAGACAGGCTGGCTCAGGAATCTGCTGCTACATAGCAAAGAACAAAACAAAACAAAACAAACAAACAACAACAAGTAAAAAAGCGTGAAACTCTGACTAAGGAATCCAGAGTCCAGAATTTATTTTCCATAGGGCTGCTGCCTCCCTGGACATAGGAAGTTTGGCCCCACATTCTCTCCCCTGTTGCCGACCCTAAACTTATTCACCCACAAAAACTATCACCACTAAAGAAACAAACATTTCTCACAAAATGTTGAAATGTGTGTGAGCAGTGCTGTGCGTGATGGTGATGATGTGGGGCAAAAGAACAGATCTGGGTTCTCATCCTGCCTCTGCCACTTAAGCTACCGTGTGTGACACTGACAGGCGGCCTTGACTCCCTGAGCCTCAGTTTCCATGGCTGTTCCAGATGATCTCTGGCATTTTCTTCTCACTGTCACAACATGTGGGCTCTTGGTCATTGGTTTGTCTGGGTTCAGTCCACTCAGAGCAACCTCTGTTGTTGATATTTGTCACACTCTGACAAGGTCCATGGCTAAGTGCATAAGTTGAAGAGTTGGGAATGAGGGGAGTTTGAGGGGAAGAGATGCCTCCCAGTTTCTGAATTTGCTTGCCTGTGATGTACCTTCTAACAAGAGATAAGCTTACTTCCATTTATTGGATTCCAGCTGGGAGACCTGTATGCCTTTGTGGGAGGAGCACAGAGGTAAATTTTGGCTTTGACTAAAACTCCTGATCCAGACTCCACTGTTTACCAACTGGGTCACCATGATTGAGTTTCTTCAAATGTAGAAATGTCTACTGTGTAAAATTGGAAACTGGAATGACTGAGTGAAATAAAAATAGAATATATATATAGTCTAGCCCAATGTTGGGCACATAGAAGGTGCTCTCTTTTCTTTAGAGAAGGGGGTGAAGGGAGTATGATCCTGGTCAGTGATGGTGCCCTCTCCCTGTCCTTTGGAACTTTCCAGTTACCCCTGGTGTCTATTCTGGGTGCTGGTGCTTGTGAGTTGTGAGACTGTTTCCTATGCTAGCTGCTGCACAGCTCACTGATGAGGACATAATGGAGGTTCCAGAAAGACCTGTTTCTTGAGGGAGCATTCTTTTTCTCTGACAGTAGGAAAAGGATGGAGAAGCAAGATCTCTTAGGTAATGCTAGTTTTCCGCTGATGCCCCAGGACAGCCCTGGCCAGAGGAGCCTGTGGAGGCTCTGCAGAGACTAGGGAGGCAGTGTGTCACCCGTATGAAGGAGAGTGAGGGTGCCAGGACTGTAGCGACAATGACAGTGGAGGGCAGCGGGGGAGGAGGAAGACTCCCTCTCCTCTCTCCTGGAGGGGAGAGTGGTGAAGAGAGACTGCAGGGAGGTAGAGGGAAGAAAACTTTTGAAGTGAGCAAAGATTCTAAGAGCACGAGGGAGAGCAGGGAGGGAGGGACCTGGGGGAAAGGGGGTGGAGAATGAAAGAGTAGGAAGAAGTGGGAGGAGGGAGGGCGACAGACTCGAGTCAAAAGGGGGTGGGAGAGCAACTGACAGGCTGAGTGAGAGCTGGGAAGAGTGGGCAGCGGAGGAGGCAGCCAGGAACCCAGGACCAGAGAAGCCCGTGGAAATTCCAGAGAGAAGGACTGGGGAGAAGGTAAGGATAGACATGCTTTTAAGAGATGAAACTCTCAGTTGATGGGAAGGAGCCAGAAGAGAGAGCCTGGAGTTCCAGGCTGGACAACAACCAGAGTTCCTTCTCTGTACTGGGGGCTTATTCCCTACCCCTCACTAGTCCCTGCGATGGTGAGGTTGGGATATATGGAGGAGGAGGATGGTAAAGCAGCAGATAAGTTACTCACTTGATTTCTAAGGATCTGCCGAAGTGTGAGTGGAGGGCCCTTGGAGCTGGTCTACCTCTGGCAGAGTGGCTGCCCTCCAGGGGCATCTTCTAAGTAGCTTAGCAGTTCATTTCCAAGAACTTTGGTTAAGATGAAATTGGCCCTTTAAAAACAAAAACCATCACTGTATTGCGGTGCTTCCTGTAGGCTTGGAATCTTTTTCGAACTGCCTTCCACAGCATCTAGGGGAGTGTTTTGATCCCCCCCACCCAAGGCGTGTTGGGTAGTTTAAAAATATTCCGTGCTTAGTTTCCTGCAGAATGTCATGTCTCTGCTGTGTGCTGTGAGCCGGCTGGCCTGCCACTCACTGTCGCTGTCGGAGGCAAGAGGCTGGTGAAGATCCAGAGGGGAAGTGGGGAGAGGCGTCACTGAAGGTCCCCTTTCCTCCTGGGTACAGGGTGAGGTAGATGGCTGCGGGGCACAAAGGTTTCTGTGGGCTCCCTGACCTCTCTCCTGAGCGTGTGGTGAAAGAACCCGGGTTCTTGTGCCCCGAGTGGCTGTGTGTCCTTGCCCCATTCTGGGCCTCAGTTTCCTCATCTAGAAAATGAGGGGTTTGTGGGGCACCTGGGTGGCTCAGCTGGTAAAGTGTTCCACTCTTGATCTCGGCTCAGGTCTTGATCTCAGGGTCGTGTGTCTACTCCAGCGTGGAGTCTATTTTCAAAAAGAAAGAAAATGAAGGGTTTGAAATAGAAGGATCCTTCCAGTTCCATTCAGCAGTAATGCTGTACAAGGTTATGATTCCTTAGGTTCAAGTATTCCTTGGAATCATGGCAAGGGGACGCTTGTCACAAGGATTTTACATCTGTACTACGCCTTTGTTCACTTTTAACTGGATTCTCCCTCCCGGTATGCCATCATAATGGAGGGATTCCTGGTTTTTCCTTCCCAGCATCTCATAAGGGTCTGGCCCACTGGATCTGACTGGCCAGAGGAAAGGAAGGGCAGAGCAAGGAGCACTGGCTGGGGAGTCAGGAGACCCAGGAGAAATCTAGCCAAATGAGAGGAGACAAAAGCCTATATGTGGCAATGTAGCACCCCCCCTTAGCCAGGTGGCATAGCTCACCACTGGGGACACAGGCTGGTATTTATAGGCACCGCAGCCTGACTTTCATATCAGCAGGCCTTCGTCTTTTCCACGCAAAGCCTCCAGAGCCCCAGTTCATCCCAAGAACCTGATTCACTGCTCTCTAAGGACAGCTCTGAACTTTCCACCTTCCAGCAGGTTCCCCAGGGCAGTGGAGCTGTTTGGAGCCTGCTCCCCTGGCCATCTCTCCCCATCTTCTCCTTACTCAGCAGCGGCCGAGGAGCAGTCCCCTGACCACAGTGCCCATGGTGGAGGAAACCCAGAAGTGTGTTTCCTGGCTTCCAGACATACCCTCTGGCTATCCCTTCAGCCAGATACATGAAGTTCATCAAGCCACGTCAGTAACAGTCACGGTGCCTGGCTTTGCCACAGCCTTAGAACACCAAGGATGTTCTTGCTGGACTCCTGAAACTGGTTGTTCTTCTTGTCCCCCAGTTGCCTCTCTCCTGTCCCCTCTCCTTATCCTGGCCAAAAGTCCTAGGCCATTGGGACTGGAAAAGGTCTGTGAGATTGCCTGTCCAATTCTTCCACTAATAGGGAAAACAAAGCGGAGGAAGAGAAAGTGACCCATGAGGGATGACGCAATGAGTCACGTCAGTTTGGTTGGGAGAATGTCCTGCTCTGCTCACTCATTCCTAGGGCCCTTCAGACTTCTGTCCTCAGCTGTGTTCTCTGAACTTCCATTTGTCCCCAGGCCTCCCTGCTTCTTCCATTTAAGTATCTCTACGATCTTGTTTTCTGGCAGGAATTCTCACTTGCCCACCTGCTCCTCATTATCACTGCTGGCTGTTGAGGGGTACGTGCAGTGGAAGGTTCGGGGCTCTGGCAGCCTGCCGGGCTACCACACTGCAGCCTGGCCTCTTGGGGACTGGCTGATTCCACTGCAGCCACTGAAAGCAGAACAGGGAGCCTATCTGCCTGGATTAGTCAGGAGACCTGGAGTCCTCAGGGCCAGCGAGACCCAAGGCCCAGGCTCTGCTCCCTGTCTCAGGGAAGATCTCACCCACCTGGGATTCTCGCAGGTCTCTGTGCCAGCTGGCCCCACCTTGGGCTCGAAGATTAAGCTGACCAAGAGGAGAGATGCCTAGGAAAACTTCAAGTCTTCTAGAAAAGAAACCAATTCCCTTTCTAGAGCCAGAAGCTACGGATTCCTGGAGAATGACAGCTTGGTGCTACTTGGTCATTCAGTTGTTTCTGGATATTAGGATATCATGGGCAAAAAAAAAAATTCAACTTTCAACAATCCACTCACTTTCATAAGGAAAAGGAATCAGGAGGTCTCAGAATCAGGGGTATTAAAAATAGCACAGAGGGATCTTAGAGTTTATCTAATTCGGGGATGGGGCAGAAGGAAGAGCCTGGGCATCTGGAATCACATTTGGGTTAGAATTTCAGCTGTGTGGCCTGGGGCAAATTATTTAACGTCTCTGAGCCTTAGTTTCTTCATCTGCCAAAGAAGTTAATGTCTTCCTTGTAAGGTTTTGTGAAGATTAAATAAAATAACACACAGTTTTCCCCACTATCCAATATGTGCTCTACACCACTTCATTTTTTTTTTTAAGATTTTACTTATTTATTTGAGAGAGAGAGCGTGCACACAAGCAGGGGGAGGGGCAGAGGCAGAGGAAGAAGTAGGCTCCCTTCAAGCAGGGAGCCCGACAAGGTGGGGGAAACCTGTATTTAAAATGACTATTTTAGGGGTGCCTGGGTGGCTCAGTGGGTTAAAGCCTCTGCTTTTGGCTCAGGTCATGATCCCAGGGTCCTGGGATCGAGCCCCGCATCAGGCTCTCTGCACGGCAGGGAGCATGCCTCCTCCTCTCTGCCTACTTGTGATCTCTGTCAAATAAATAAATAAAATCTTTAATAAAATAACTAAATAAATAAAATGGCTATTTTATATTAAGTGCTCAGTGAACAATGGAACAATAGGGTAGAATCCAGTTTAGCTGGTCCTCAGCTCATATCTTGGAACTACATCTCATTTGATGGAAAAGCCTCCCCCACGACATGGAATTCTGAGAAGGTACTGCTTGCTTTTTATGACTCGCAGATTTTTTTTTTCCCCTGGGACGACTTTTGCTGACCTCTAAGCTGGGGGGGCGGTGGTTAGAAAATCTAGCTTTGCCTTTGGCTTTGCCACTGACTTGCCATGCTATCGCAATTGGTCAAGTCACAAACTCCCCAGATGTTCTAACTTAGCAGCCATCCAGCTCAATTGCTTTCTCTTATACACAAGCAAACTGAGGCTCAGGGAGCGGAATGTCTCATCCAGAGCCACAGAGAAACAGCTGAGACTCGGAAGAGCCTTTCTTTCAAGGCTCTTGTTCACAGATGATTTCCAGGATCTTAATTCATCCTGGGATTTTCATGATTCAGAACTTCAGGAGAGGGCAGATGTAGTTAGGGGTCGGAATGGCCCTCCTCCGCAGGTCACCGATTTCTCTTCCAAGTAGAACCGAGCCAGCTTCAAACCTACCCTAGTGGATGTGCCTTTGGACTGGTTGATGAAGAGATTCAAAAGTGCTGCAGCTTTTCAGAAGTCAGGGATTACATGAAGCACACATTTTATAATGTGGACTCAAATGAAGTCCATCTCCAGGCCCAAAGTCCAGAACCAGGCTGAATCAATTACAAGAATGAGAGGGGCCTGATCTCAGTGAGACCCTGTACCTCCCTTCTTCTCCATGCTTGCCCCTGAAGGTCTGCACGCCTAGTGAAATAACAGATGTACGTGAAATTAATATCCTTCCCATCACCCATGTGTTCCTCACCTTTCCCACCTGATGCCCCGTGAGTGTCCTTTTTGGGTCTCTCTCACCAGGCTGCTGCACTGCCAAATTCAAATTATCAGGTTGGCTAGTTGGATCATGCTTGAGAGGAGTCTTTACTGGAAATGTCAGAAAAGAAAACAAGGAACTAACCTGACTGTCTATTATGTGCCCGGTACTGTTCGAGGACCTTCCATACATCCGCATACTGTTGAATCCCCATGAGTAAACATTCCCTCTTTTCAGATGAGGAGGAAACAGACAGGCTGAGTGACTTGCCTAAGGGCACACAATTGGTGAGTGGAGGCAGGGTTCAAATCCCACTACTCTTCAGGAAACACGAGGCCCACCTCCTATTTTTGTTTCAGAGGTTCTTGTTATGATTTGACATCAATGGAACACCAGAGCCTGTTGTCTGGCCAGCTGAAAACCCGGCAGCAGACGCGGCTGCAGCCAAGAGCACTTAGTGGCTAAAAAAGGAAATAACTTTCTATATGTGAATTCTGGCCAAATGGTGGCAGATGCTGAAGAGTCTGGGAATCCTGACCACTGTGGGCCGCGGGCGTCGATGGAATCATTAATTCTAGGAACAGCATAGGCAAGGGACGGCCAGCCAAGAAGCCAGGGGCTGAAAGGAAAAACCCAGGGCCTCTTACGGGAGAGTGGGAAAAGCCCTGCTCGTGGAGTTCAGAGACTGGACAGAGTTCCAGTCACAGGTTTGTCACTATCTGTCAGAACTGGGGCCTCTTTGATTTTTCTTTCCCTTTTAAAGACACAGTGGAGGGGCACCTGGGTGGCTCAGTGGGTTAAAGCCTCTGCCTTCGGCTCAGGTCAAGATCCCAGGGTCCTGGGATCGAGTCCCGCATCGGGCTCCCTGCTCAGCAGAGAGCCTGCTTCTCCCCCT